ACCGCTTTCAAGCACCAAGCAAGCATATGTTCTGCTGGTGGCTCAGTGGTCAAGCTTCCTTCCTGGAAGTATAAAGGAGTGGGGATGGGGGGAGGGTGGGATGAGGATGAGAGAGGGTGAGGGGGGATGAAAGTGGGGTGAGGGTGGGATGAGTTGAGGGGGGATGAGGGTGGGGTAAGGGGTGGGGTGGAGTGGGGATGTGGGGTGGGGTGAGTGTGGGATGAGGGGTGGGATGATGGTGAGGATGAGGGTGGGGTTGGGGTGAGGGTGGGATGAGTGTGGGGATGAGGGATAGATGAGGGTGGGGTGAGGGTGGGGTGGAGTGGGGGCGAGGGTGGGGATGAGGGATGGGGTGATGGTGGGATGAGGTTGGGGATGAGGGCTGGGTGAGGGTGGGGATGAGGGCTGGGTGAGAGTGGGGAATAAGGAGTGGGTGGGTTTGGGGATATGGGGTAGGTAGGGGTGGAAATGAGGGGTGGGGTGAGGGGTGTGGTGGAGTGGGGATCAGGGGTGTGTGGGGTGGGAATGAGTAGTAGGTGGGGTGGGAATGAAGGAGTGTGGGGGGTGGGATGAGGGGTGGGTTGGGGTGGGGATGAGGGGTGGAGTGGAGTGGGGATGAGTGGTAGGGTAGGGATGGAGTGCTGAGGCTTCCAAGAACAGCCCCTCACCTACCAGATTCAGTCGGGTCTCCAGAATATGGATCTGTTTCTGCAGCTTCCGGGGGTTATTGGCCTCTTGTGTCTTCAAGAAGATTTGTCTCTGGTTGTTGATCTTCCTCTCCATCTGAACAATCTGAAAGAGAGAGGGGAGCGGGGAGCGCTGAGCTGCATCAGCATCTGTCCACCCCCACAGATTGACTTCCGTCCAATAGACAGAGCTCTGCGCTGGCTTCCTGACCCCCAGTCCATTCAATTATTCTCACCCATTCCAGGGAAAAATAATGACTCTTGGCTCTGAGTGTGAATTTCCCCACTAGTGAACAAAAAATTTCCATCTCCTCAGCCCTGACAACCATAGTTTCTAGAGGAAACTGTGCAGTCTCTGGCTGCATCAATCACACCAAGGGCTGCGAACTACAGACCTTTGGAAATTGGCTCACAGCTTATTGCTACAAATAAAGATTTATTAGAAAAGTCAATCATTTCTGTACTGCCTGTGGCCACTGCCTTGGTGCTATGCTGCTGGAGTTTAGTTTCGCAGAGGCGTTGTGGCTTCGAAAACCCAGATATGTGGTCCTGTGGCCATTTTAGATGTTGGACCAGAGTGTTAATTTATCAAAATGCATTTGAATTTAGTGTCATTTGCTACTTTAGAGTCTTATTCAGGCACCATATCGGTTAAAACAAAAGACTAGAAACATAGTTCAGTGATGGAGGGCTTGCCTATCGTGCACAAGGTTCCATCCCCAGGGAACTAGCAGAGGAGTTAAGATTTGTTCCTAGCACCCACATCAGTTGTCTCAATAATTCAGTTCTAGGGGATCCAATGCCTTCTCCTAGACTCCATGAGCACTTCACATATTCTCACACAGACACAGGCATATATACATAATTAAAAATAAAATAAAGGGGCTGGAGAGATGACTCAGGGATTAAGAGCACTGGCTGTTCTTTCAGAGGTCATGAGTTCAATTCCCAGCAACCACATGGTGGCTTGTAACCATCTGTAACAAAATCTGGTGTTCTCTTCTGGTATGCAGGCACAACACTCAAATCTTTAAAAAAATAAAATAAAATAAAATCTTACACACAAAAAGATAAGAGTAAGGGTGGCTGAGTATGACCGCGCACACGCTTTAAACTTGAAAAGCAGAGGCAGGTGGATCTCTGACTTCAAGGCCAGCCTGAGCTTTAGAGTGAATTCTAGGCGAGCCAGGGCTACAAATATATGCCTCAAAAATAAATAAATACAAATAAATTATAAAGTTACATACTTCTAACACACAAACTCAGTAAGTAATAAGTTTCCTTTCCTACAAGGAAGGATTGGGACACAGCCAGACCTAGCCAATGACACCATCCAGGAGGCTCACATTAATGATGTGTGGTGTTGAGTGATGATTTTGAGGCAACGAATCATGCTCAGAATGACATGTGTATTCCATGGCCCACAAGAAACCTTCTTGTCCAGCACCTTAGTGCCAGGACAAAAACAAAAAACAAAACAAAACAAAACAAAACAAAAAACTGGTGCATAGCATGAAGGAGGGAGAAACTAGCATCATTAAAAGCCAACGGTGATCCTTGTTACAGCACCAAAACCTGGCCCGTGTTGGTTGATGCTAAGGATGCTGAGGTTGGACATGCAGGGTTGATGGAGCTGAGCTCCCATGCTATGTTCCCCTCTGCCTGGAGCATCGCAGGTATGTTGTCCTTGTCCCCGTTTGCTCAGTCTCCCAGGAGAGCCTCACCTTGTCATCCAGCTCTCCCAGCAGCACCTTCATGGAGGTGATGAGTGCCTCATAGTCCCCCTTGGTCTGCAGCAGGAAGCGCAGCTCCATGATGTTCTTCTGGTCCAGGTCTAGGTTCTTGGGAGACTTCACGAGGCTCAGGAGCAAGGTGGTCTCTGCCTGCTCAGCTTTCAGATTCTCGATTTCCTTACTGAGGGGAAGCATCTCTGATTTAACCCAGCAGCCCCTAAATGCCTTCACAGAACCCACAGGATTTCTTACGCCAAAAGGAGCCTGGGAGAAGGCCTGGGTCCCAGTGAGGAGGGGGGAAGCTTCAGGGCTGGGGCTTGGGTCCACATCTGAAACCCCATGTCCCTGACCCTAGTCATTTCCTTCTCTCCTCCCCACCTTCCCTGAGGGATACGTGCTTCTAGGGGTTGTCTGCCCTGTCAGAACCCTTCACGGAGCGGCTCGGGAGATGGCTCAGCAGCTGCTAAAGAGTTCCCTGTGTATGAGAACTTGAAGTCCATCCAAGCACTCACTCAAAGTCAGCTGCTGGGAGTGGAGGCAGGAGGACCCCTGAGCTAGCTGTCCCTCCCGTCTCTCCTCATCAGGGGCTACAAGCCAATGAGAGACATAGTCTCAAAAAACAAACAAACAAACAAACAAACAAGATGGGACCAGGCATGATGGCACACACTCTTAATCCCAGCACTTGGGAGGCAAAGGCAGGGGATCTCTGAGTTTGAAGTCAGCCTGGTCTACAGACTGAGTTCCAGGACAGCCAGGGCTACACAGAAAAAAACCCTGTCTTGAAAAAACAAACAAACAAACAAAAACAGCAACCAATTGATCATGGTCAGAGATGAAACCAATGGGACAATCTACAAAGACAATAACAAGGTTGCCCTGGCCGGGCGGTGGTGGCGCACACCTTTAATCCCAGCACTCAGGAGGCAGAGGCAGGTGGATCTCTGTGAGTTTGAGGCCAGCCTGGTCTACAAGAACTAGTTCCAGGACAGGCTCCAAAGCTACAGAGAAACCCTGTCTCAAAAAAACAAAAACAAACACATAAGGTTGTCCGGTCCCTGCACTGTCAGGAAACTAGTGAACCCTTGACCCACTTCTGGTATGCACCAAAACCCAAATGCTTCATTTTGTTTAACTCACTACCATTTCAGAGACCATGTGTGACCAGTGAATCTAGAAGTTGGTCTTTTCCAAGGCTGCTGGGCTTTCCCACCCCTCAGCTCCCTCCTGGAGGCAGACCTTGTTAAGGTGGAAGGAAAACCGTAGCAGCTGAGTCCCGCACGGAGGACAGTGGTCACAGGGAAAGGCAGCAGGCTGGTGGGCAGGGCTGGACTGGGCAGAAGTGAGCCAGAGCCCTGGAGTGTAGGGGGCTCTCACAGTCAGAGCTTGCCCATGCTTTCCTGTTAAACTTTATTTATCTTGAGACAGTCTCACTATGTAGTCCTGGCTGGCCTAGAAATCTCTACATAGAGCAGACTGGCTTCAAATTCAGAGGTTCACCTGCATCTGCCTCCCAAGTGTTGGGATTAAAGGTGTGCACCACCATGCACCGAAATTTCTTTATCCTGTCATTTTCGTCTATATGGGAGTGGGTGACAAGGGGTGCAGAGGCCGGAAGAGAGCGACAGAGCCCTTGGAGCTGGAGTTCCAGGAGGCAGGAAGACAGATGTGGGTGCTGGGAACCGAACTCAGATCTTCTCCAAGAGTAACAAGTGCTCTTCATTGCTGAACCTTCTCCCAGCCTTCACTTTTTTCAACATGTATTTATTTGTGCATGATATATGAATATGTGCGTGGGTGTTAGCATGCCACGTTGTGCGTATGCAGATCAGAAAACAACGTGGGAGTCTAACCTTGTGGCTCTTTGGGATCTAATTCAAGCTATCGGGCTTGGAGTCAGGCTGTGCCATCTCCCCAGCTTGAGACGTTTCCTCTGGTTCTATATAATAAACACTTTTCCAATAGATGGCAGTAAAGTGCTCTGGAAAAAACACTTTTAAAAACTGACAGGGATGTCTCCTAGGGACCAGCCTCGCATGGAGTAAACAGATCCAGGGGAAAGGAAAGATCTCCTCCGCTCCCTCCTCTAAACTCCAAGCATGCAGACAGCGAGGGTGGATGGAGGCCTGCTTCTGGCCTTGCAGAAGTGGCTTCACAACCGGGTCTCCCCAATTGCAAAAGGCTGGGCGCTGCAGAGGCAGTTTGGCAACCTCCCCGGAGGCACCAGCCAGAGAATGGCCACGCCCCGTCACAGCTGGTTGGACAGGAGTAGACACCTGAACCAATCAGGTTCCCCCCGTGCTGGATGGGCTGCTAGATGAGGGTGTGTCTGCTAGGCACAGGGTGGAGCAGAGGGTCAGGGGCATCCGCTAGATGACCGAGGCCTGGTTGAGGGTCACCTGTCTCCCGGAGCCCCCAAGAACCCTGGATCCTGCTCACTGGGTGCCCTCCTATGAAGCTCTAGAGCGTAGGATAAAAGGTCCCGGCCCCCAGGTGGGTTCAGGGTGCTCCCTGCCCCTGCTGTGCCCTAGACCCGCCCTGGGACACCCCTCTTACTACTGATTGGCGATCATGCGCTGGTTGCGGAAGTTGAAGGACTTCCTGCTCTCCACCATCTTGCGGAACTGTTGCCTCAGTTTCCTCAGCTCCGCCTCTGCCAGCTGCTCTTTGGCCTTCTCGGTAAGCTCCGGAGAGCTCAAAGAGAGCTTTCTTCTGTGTTTCTTTCCCTGGGCGAGATGGAGAGAGAGGAGGCCCATGTGACCAGAGAAGCCCCCAGGTGGCTCCCAGGAGAGGGGCTAACCCACTCCAGGGTGATGTCATCTGCTTGTCTGTCACAGGGGAGACCCATCCAGGGCTGCCAGGTGACAGTCGAACTCGCTGTGGAGGGTCCTGAGTTCAAATCCTACACTGCTGTGAGCCTGAGAAAGTCACAGACTGTTCCTGAACTCCAGCCTCCCGTCTATGCAGTCGATGCCCAGAGATGGGGTGTTGGGTAGGGTGAGATGGTACATGAAGCCATAGCGAGTGGTCAGCTGTCATCACCTACCAGCGGCATTGAGACGGATCTGGGCTTCCTTTCTGCTTAGACACTGGATCCTGGAGGCCACAACCAGCAAGCCCACCCCTGTCTCTCTCTTGTTCTCTCTCTCTGTCTCTCTGCAACGTCCTGTCCAGAGGGAAAGGAGGAAAAAAGGAAGTGGGCCACCCCTGCTGGCAGTGAGGACCCATGGGCCTCTCCCCCTTCTCACGGTCCCCTCTCCCGCCCACAGCTTGGCATACAAAGGGGACATGGCAGATGGTGCTGGGTGTGACTAGAGCCTCTCCCCCCAGAGCCAAGTGTGCCTGGAACTTCTTCCTCTCCAAGTTTATTATTAGGGCCTGGGCAGATGGCTTCAGCCTGTCACGTACCCTTCTCCCCACATCTCTGAAGGAAAGGGGTGCAAAGGCCTCAGATGGTGAGCACCCGAAGGGAGCCTTCTGATTTTGTGACAAGGTTTCCTGTCAGCCCAAGCTGGCCTCAAAGTCAATCTGTATCCAAGGACGAACTTGAACTCCTCATCCTCCTGCCTCCACCTCCAACGTGCTGGGATAATAGGTGTGTGCCATCACACCCAACTTATGTGGTGGTGCTGTATTGAACCCAGTACCCTACACATGCTGGGCAAACACTACCCACTCACCACTCTCTCTCTCTCTCTCTCTCTCTCTCTCTCTCTCACACACACACACACACACACACACACACACACACACGCTGTGGCTCCTCCTGTCTCAGGTCAGGAACCAGTAACCCAGACCGGTATTTGGTACATCGGAACTTGAATGTTGGGGATGGAGAGATGGCTCAGAGGTTAAGAGCACTTACTGCTCTTCCAGAGGTCCTGAGTTCAATTCCCAGCAACACCACATGGTGGCTCGCAACCATCCGAAATGAGATCTGGTGCATTCTTCAGGTGTGCAGGCATACATCGAATGTTGTATACATAACAAACAAATAAATAAACCTTGAAAAAAAAAGAACTTGAATGTCATCTGCCAGAGGCACTCAGACAAGTGGACGTGAGTCTAACAAACCCCACAGGACTGTGAGACCCACTGTGTCCCAGAAACTGGGAGGTCCTATGTGGACTCCAGGGTCTCAATTCCTCCCCAGCCTCTGATGAACCTTGGGTGCATTCCTCCTGCTCTCTGGAACCTCAGTTTCCACTCTGGAAAACGGGGAAGGGTAGAGGCCAATCAGTGCACTCACCTAATCTATATAATATCCGCACACTAGCATGGGCCTGGACTCCCAGGCACCCGGGCTCCCTGCTAGGTGTTGGAGAGAATTCAGCAATTCAGGCTGTTGCAGGATGAATTTTAACCTGGGCACCTGAGGTCAGGTGCACGGACAGCCATCTCCACAGGGCCCTAAAAATCAAGCTAAATCAAGGTAAAGTAAAGACACTTCTGGGTCATGTCCAAGCACACCAATCAGAACCTTTCATGAAAGCAATCTGAAGTGACTTTTCTGGGGCCTGTAAATGGCCAGAGTTCTGGCAGGGCAAATGTGCAAATCGATTTGGTGTGCAAACTGTGCCTACTGTGTGCTTAATATCGTGGGGAACTGAGCAGTGAGTCATCCGCAAGATGCTACCAAGGTAGCCCAGGGTGAAAGCGTGGGAAAGGCTCCAACAAGATGTGGCCCTTGTGTTCTGCGGGATGAACAGGAACTCACCAAGCCGTGCTGAATAAGTGATGAGAAATTCTGGGCAGAGAGAGCACCTGACTGAAGGCTGAGAAGCAAGGAAAATGTAGCCCCAAGGCATCCGCTAGCTTGTGTGAGCTGTCAAAGACACCATGGGAACTATGGAGATGGCTGGTCGGTATACCACACTTGAAGAGAAAATAATGCTATAAGATTCTTACAGACAGTGAGGAGGTCATGACCATGGGGCCATGTCTTGACAGTTTCTGGAGCCTTCCCAAACACAACTTGAATGAATGACCTTACTCAGGCCATCTTGAACACCTCCCATTTTGTTAGCTACCCTGCCACCATCTCCCATTTAATAGCCAGGGCAAGGAGCCTACACTTCCTCCCCACTTTTAAATGACAAGGCTGGTTCTGCAAGGATCCTGGATGAGTGACACGGTTTGTTTTAAGACAAGAATAAAGCGGGGCATGGTGGTACTGGCGGGCCATCCTAGCATTTGGAAGGTGGAGGAAGGAGGATCAGGTGTCAAGGTCATCTTTGGCTGCAGCACAAGTTTCGAAGCCAGCCTGTGATATGAGACCCTGTCTCAAACAAATGAATAAATGACAAATAAATAAATATGAGGACGCTTGAGAGGATATATAGCTCTTTGGGTTTGGGAGCATTTATGGTGGTAGTGGTGGCCCCAGGCTTGAGGCAACCCCTAGCCTCCGCTCCTCCCCAGCAGGGGGCGCTGTGTGCGCCGAACTTACCACCCGCGGCTCCAAGTAGCGGGCTCCGCGAGCGTTTGGGCTGCAGCCAGCTCCACACCCCGCGTTCTCCGCCCTGGAATACGCGCCTTTGTGACAGCGGCGACTCGCGTTCTCTACGGACTGCCTAGACCGCAGGACCCACGGGGAACCCGCAGCTTCCCCAAGGGAACAGGGCAACACACTCCTTAGCTACCCTCAACTACCCCATGTGAAACCAGCCGCGCCAAGAGATCTCCCTGGCCACCAAGTAAGTTCCCATCCCCTCCCTGGGCCTTGCTCTCTTGTCCCCTAGCTTCTTCATTAAAGGCCCTCCTTTCTGTAACACAATGACCTAAGTAGACTTGTTTTCAGAGTTTAATTTATTTTATTTATCTGCCTGGAGATTGACCCTAGGGTTTCAGGCGTGCTAGACAATGACTCTAACTCCAAGCCTTCACTACCTGGAAGCTCCCCGTCTTGTCACTGCTGGTTAGGCTGCTTGGCTCACAGCTCTCAACTGTCTGCCGCTGGGTTTGCAATAGTTAGAAACATTCCTTCCTGGGGAAGGCTTACCCTTGCGGTCTGCCTGGGTGCAGAGCTCAATCCTCTTGCCAAAAAGAACAAGCCCCACCCCCACCCCATGTGGCCTGGAGCAAACAAAACTGCCAGCCGGAAAGCAGAGCCAGGATGGAGCCAGCTGGGCAAATGGTGGGGGCAGGAGCGAGGGGCCTAACCGCTCACCCAGCTCTGCCTATGAGAGTCAAAGGCATACTGAAAAAATGCAAACGACTCCTCTGTCAGATTCGAGTTTACCCAGGTGACCCTCACACACAGTGCAGGGCTCCATCAGGGTCAGCCTGCCAGGTCAGCCTGCCTGGTCAATACTTGGACCAACAACATAAGAGACTAACTGGTACCCTACAGTTTCCTGGAGACTGCCACAGGGATGGGCTTATAATTAGTGACAGTGGCCTGCCTCGTCAAAAGCAAAGGAGAGGCCCAGTCCAGTTTAGAGGATAGTTCTTTGCCATCTCTGAGAATGAGAAAGGAAGCAGGAAGCATGCTGCCTCGGTTTGTTGCTGGCAGCTCTCTTGCAATCTTGAGGGAAGCCGGTGAGAACGTTGGTATTGACTGGGGCTACTCAGATATTGCCTGGGGCTGCAGGTTAAGGACGTGACACCCTCCCTGGCCATCAGCCGTGTAAAACTGGAACTGTAGTTTCAGGACTTTCATTAGAGGCCAAAAGGATGGGCTCTGAGTCACAGTTCTGGCCTGGGTGGAGATGTGTCGCCTTAAGAGTCATTAATGGATAACTATCTAAATCCTGCACGATCCTTATCTAGCAGCGGGCTTAGTGTTAAAGGAGGAGGCTAGGATTGTCCTTTCCTGGAAGGGTGGATGCAGACAGACCAGTCACTCACCTGAACAGGAAGCCAGCGTGACAGGTTCTGGGAGCTTTAGGAATTCACAGAGCCTGTCTGAAGGGTAGATAGTACTGGTAGACAGTGCTTGGCCCCCTCTGCACTCCCTGGAGTGCTTGGCCCCCTGTCCACTCCCATCCCAGGAGAGCATTCTCCACCTTGCGATAAACCGCCTCTTTTCCACACTCTGGTTGAATTCTTTCAACAACATTCACAAGAGTTGGAGATCAAGCAGAGAGTTCAGTCTTGGATCCCAATCCCGGCAACAGTACTCAGTGAGGGAAGAGAGGTTCAGGACCATGTCTGTAGACCCCTGCTCCATTCTGCTTGTTTTATTTTCTCACTTTTGTTTGTTTGAGGAAGGGCCTCACTACGTAGCCTGAGCTATCTTGGGAGCTCCTTGTGTAGACCAAGGTGACTTCGAATTCACAGAGATCCACTTGCCTCTGCCTCTTGAGGGCTGGGATTGAAGGCGTGTGCCGCCATGCTGTGCCTCATACCTTCATTTTATCGTCCCTTTAGGTCACATTCCTGCTTAATTCATCAGTGTGCTGATTCTTCAGGATATTGCCAACCTGGTTGAACTCAGGACCTGAGAGTCTGAAGATGCAGAAATAAGAGTGAGGGAATAGTCAGGCAGTGGTGGCGCACACCTTTAATCCCAGCACTCAGGAGGCAGAGGCAGGCGGATCTCTGTGAGTTCAAGGCCAGCCTGGTCTACAAGAGCTAGTTTCAGGACAGGATCCAAAGCTACAGAGAAACCCTGTCTCGAAAAACTAGAAAAGAAAAAAAGAAAGAAAAGGAAAAGAAATGAAAACAAAAGTGAAGAAATAACTGAAGGTCAGCTCCCACAATGCCCTGCTCCAGAATGCCCTCACCAAGGTCTCTGGGCATTGCCCTAACCTTCAGCCACTTTGGATTCCAGGAACAGCAGAACTCATAGATGCGTCAGCCTCTAACCCAATTCTTCCTCTGTTGCATCCCAAAGCTCCCATCAGTGCCTCAGGAGAGAAGCCCAGGGTCACCGAATCCCTTTAACTCTTCTTCCAGGGTAGCCACATTGACTGTCTATATCTTTGTCTGTGCCTCTTTCTAATTGGCATGTTGAAACAGGTAGCCAAACCGATCCCTAGTTCACCCCAGCCTTATCCTAAAACCCCACTAACAACCATCACATCCTCTCCCCACCTCCCCCTGTGACAAACAGGTGACCTTCTTGTGTCCTGAGCTTCTGTCCAGAGGGCAGTGATGGAGACCAGCCGGGGAGGGAAGCCAGCATTCAATTCAATTTGGCACCATGCTGCTGTCCATGACCCGCAAGACACTGGGGACACCTGGCTACCGTCTGGAGGTGGCAGGAGGGATGAAATACCCCAGGCTGCTCTGAGGAAAGGCAACTCTATCTGGCTCCTTAGCAAGAAGACGGAACCATTCTCCCCTCCCTTCCTCCCTCCCTCCCTCCCTCCCTCCCTCCCTCCTTCCCTCCCTCCCTCCTTCCCTTCTTCTCTGTCTCCATTCTCACTTCTAGGATAGCACGAGGAGACCTTAAAATTACAATCTTAGCAAGGCAGTGATGGTGCATGCCTTTAACCACCGCACTTGGGAGGCAGAGCCAGGCAGATCTCTGTGAGTTCGAGGCCAGCCTGGTCTATAGAGCAAGTTCCAGGACTAGCTCCAAAAGCTACACAGAGAAACCCTGTCTCAAGAAAACAAACAAATAAATAAGCAAACTACAACCTTAAAAACTACAACTCCCGCTGGGCGGTAGTGGTGCAAGTCCTTGGAAGGCAGCACTTGGAAGGCAGCACTTGGAAGACAGAGGCAGGCAGCTCTCAGTGAATTTGAAGTCAGCCTGGTCTACAGAGTGAATTATAGGACAGCCAGGACTGCTATACAGAGAAACCCTGTCTCAAAAACAAACAAACAAACAAAACAAAAGAAACTTAAAACACTACAACTCCCAGGATTCTTTGCATAATAGGTAGGGCCTCACAAGAAGATTAAGCAGGGTTAATCTATACTGCTTGTTGGTTTAGTGAGCCCAGCTGAGGTTCTAAGACCTCAACTGCAGGGACAAGGGTCTCCCTGTCTGCCATCCTCAACTCCTGCGGCGCAGCACCTTGTTGTTCTAACAGAGAACTGGACCCTGCACCAGAGGGAGAGCCAGAAGTCCCTGGAGTTTGACTTCCTCCCAGCCTCTTTCCGCTAGCCAGGATCTGAGGGGGTGGCACACTGGGCCAGTCTGTGTCTTCTGTGGTATGACAGGGTGAGCTGCCACACACAAATCGGGAAGGAGCTGAATCCAAGACCCCACATGCCTTCTCCTTCTTTCTCAATCCCCTGAGAATAGCACCTCAGGGAAGATGGTTCAGTCAGTAAAGACACTTGCTGCCAGAGGTCAACCTGAGGTCAACCACTGGGCCCCACGTGGAAGAAGGAAAGACCCGTTTCCAGCATGCTGTCCTCTGACCTTCACACATGTTCTGTGTTGTGCATTTGCTCCCACCCAATCAATAAATAAATGTGACACAAACGTTTTTTAAGTGAATGTCATCTTGCTTCTCTTGATGGAGGAGAAGCACTTTTTCAGACCTCTGGAAAAGTGGAGAGCTCTGAAGAAGGGATCAGTCATGGCCCTTCTGCAACACACCCTGGTGGCCCAGTTCATGCCCACAGAATTCCCCAAGGCTGCCGCTATGGTCCCATTCTCAGCACAGCTTGGAGAGCTACCTAGGTCCTAGAGTTACACAGACCTGGGCTGCCAGGAGCTAACTAGCTATGAGCCTTTGGACCAGGCTCAGTTTCCTCCTCCTTCACTGCGGCTCCTGCTGGGCATGCCCAGTCCTGGGGTTGGATTACTGTGACCCTCTGGCCACACCCGACATATGGGGACCAAGGCTGGGCAAGCTTCCGAGCAAACGTGGTTTAAAGAAGCCAGGAGGCAATGTTCTGGCAGTAGAGGCACCCCAAAATGACTAGACTCTGCTGCCACCCCTTCTTCTGTTATAGGCCATCTCTAATGATGGCGGCTCAGATCAGCTGTGCTCAGTAAGCCCTCAGAAAGGCTGGAGGAACAACCCAGTCATTGTTTATCATAGTGACAAGATACAGACTGAACTCAGCAAGGTTAATGAGTCCAGGAGACAGTGGACCTGGACTCCCAGAGGAATCTCCTGTGTTGGGTTCACAAAGCTTTAGCCTGTGGCGCAAATTACTGACAATAGGAAGATACCCCAAACTTTGGCATCTACAGTGCTTATTGAGGGTCAGAAACATGCAGATGGCCCTTCATGGCCAATCTTTGTCACTTGGTCTCACCTACTGCAGAGGCCCCGCTCAAACACAAGGCTGGGCACAGTTGTTCTGCGGTTGGAGGTTATCTCCCAGGAGCCTAGCAACGGGCCTGCCTTCCTTAGGGGTGGTGAGGTTTGAACAACACAGATGTAGCAAGTCTGCACCTTTGCGACACCGCCCACAATGACATTTCACTCACTAATGGCATTCATTCACTCAATGGCATTCATCCAGAATGGATCAGAAGAAGGCCTGAGGGCCCCAGGTCGCCCCGCCACATCCACTTTCCCGTTTCCTCCTCCAGGCTCTTTGTGATCTGGGCTTCTCACCCACAGTGAGGGGCTCAGCCTCAGGGAAGGATTTTCACATGGCATGGGGGTTGTGAATGTGGGGAGGGGGTTCCCAAGCCTGGCTTTCATGTCCTGGCCCCTAGGCTGTCTTGAGAAGATACCTTCTCTGACAGATTTAGATGAATCCCCTTATCCAAGAGCTCAGGTCACCTGCTTCAGCCTGGCCAGATCCGATTACTTGCTGTGACCCCAAAATTCACTCATGCACACCCGCCAATAATCAGTCCCAGCGGGGATGGTGAGGATGTGGCGGGGGAGTTGGGGGGTAAATTTGGGAACACCTTTGCTTCTGTGCAGAAGCGGGTGAGGCAGAGTTGTCATCTCAGGACATCCCCCTGCCTTGCTCCAGATCTGGGTCACCTTAAACCGATTTTAATGGTCTAGAAAGATAAAAGCTGAGACCAAGTCAGAGGTCACTTAAAGAATTAGAGTTGCCGGCAAGTTCCAAGACAGCTCAGGATGCACTGGAGAGGTGGCCCTTTTGAAGGCCAGTGTTCATCTTTTGTTGCCTTTTTGTGGTTTTGTCTTTGGGTGCTGGGAATGGAGCCCAGGGCCTCCCACATGCTGGGCAAGCACTGTATGCGCCCAGCCAGTGAGCAGTTCTCTTTAATGTTTAGTTGGCGTGTGCTTTTGTCTGCATGCCTGTGTGTGTGTGTGTGTGCGTGTGTGTGTGTGTGTGTAGATTTCATCTAGGCTGACTGACCAGAGACTTTTCTGGAGCCACCCATCTCTGCCTCTCAGTACTGGGATTACAGGAGGGCATGACCACGCACCACGTCTGACTTCTCTATGTAGGTGCTAGGGATTCAAACCCAAGTCCTTGTGCCTCCAGAGCAAGTGATTTTGCCCACTGAGTCGTCTTTCCAGGCTCTAGCGTGTTTGTCTTGCCCTCCTTAGTCTCTCAGCCTCATGCCTAAGACCCTTCCAGTCATGTGTCATTGCCATTAGCACCTGTCTTTTAGGGCTCCCTTCCACCCCGAGCTTCCGGGTTGGAACAGTCTCCTGGCAGCTCCCTTCCTTGACACCCAGGTTGGCTCTCAGCCCTCACTGCCGAGGTGCTGCCTGCTGCATACCAGACGTTGTGAAGGCTGTGGTAGGTATGAGCTCACTCTCTCTGCATCTTCTAGGAAATCCATGTGGGGAATTCAGCCATGGGTGCTGTCATAGTGAGCAGGAGGACATGTGACAGACTTGGATAGACCTGAACTCAAATCCCACTTCTGCTTCGTGCAGGCTGTGTGACTTGGGCAAGTGACTTAACCTCTCTGTGCCCTGGCCTGGTGCAAAGACCTTGTGTTATACAACTCTGAGAGGCACAAAGACTGACAGGAAGTTGCTTGGATCCTGCAAGGTAAGGGCTTCTCCGGTCAGGGTTCTCTAGAGGAACTGAACAGAGAATGACTCTATGAGACATATATTTATAAAGGGATTTGTAAGAATGGTTTATGGGGCTATGGTCTGGTTAGACCAACAGTGGCTGACCCTAAGATCAACACTCCAGCCCAGGAGTTTAGCTGTATCAGCTGGTCTTCCGTGTATGTAGGAAGTTGCCTCAAACACCAGTGAACGGACGTCTCCAGCAGAACAGATGGACTTGCCAGCAAGAGTGAGGGCAAGAAGGCAAAGAGAAAAGCTTCCTTCTTCCAGGTCCTTCATGTGGGCTGCCACCACGAGGTGGGACCCAGATTCAGGGTGGCTCTTCCTACCTCAAAAGACCCGATCAAGAATAATCCTTCACAGGTGTACCCAGCTGCTTGGGTTTTAGACGGCTCCAGGTGTGGTCAAGTTGACAGTCAAGATTACCTATCACAGGCTCGTCTCGATATGACCTCAGTACCCTCGTCATCCCCCTCCCTGGAGTCCCGTCCTCCAACCCACCTACATCTAAGGCTGGCTTCTTCTTATCCCCACCTCACATTGGAGCTGCCCATGCACCCACCCGCAGCCTCATCTTGTCAGATTTCCTCCCCAAAGCCCAACACCATCTCTTATGTCTGCACATGCACAAGCTGCCCCATGCATGCATAAGTCAGAGGACAATTTGTAGGTGTTGGTTCTCTCTTTCCACCATGGGGCTCTGGGAATCA